ATACATGTATGCAAGGCCATCTGCTGATATTAGAGTTGATATATGGAAACTCTAGCAACTTAGTTAGCACAGTTAGCACTGTGTCAATGGCTTAGCAGTCCAACACAGTTTACACATTTAAACAGTCTTGTTTGATAAATACACAAATAACAATGCAAACTTACAGGTTGTATACCCAGATCTTCCCCTGCTCCAAACGGTCCAAACAAGCTGTGCATATCCGGCCTCAAACTGGGCAATGTTTTGGAAGCTTTCGTCTGTGAAATGCCGGTTCTTCGAACCTCTGGAGGAGGAACACGCCGCTGCTGGTGTGGCCATAGCTCTTCGGGATTGGTCCATTTCGTTCCGGGTACCGCATGACATCAGGCGGTACCCGGAACTAAATGGAAGACTCAAATGGGCAGTGACGTATCTCCAACGAGGCGTTTTGGGGAGGTATTTTCTGTGTTAGAGTTTTACTCGCTACAGGGTGTACTTTGAGGGTTTTGACTCTGCACACCGTTTACATGCATAAAAACCTTCATAACACACAAGGGGACGGGTAATAACCGGAAAAGCATGACATGGGAGCTTTAAGTCATGTGTGTGATGCCACATTCAGGACATTCAGTGTCTTTTTTTTAACAGAAGACCGTTGCTAGAAGCTGCAGCTAGACTGCAGAAGTATTAGTTTTTTGTTTTTGAGGATGGAACCATTTTCACACACAGATATAGGGAGGCTAGACCTATACAATTAATTTATTATGGTTTATAATTTAATGTCAAGACGAAGAAGAAGAAGAAAAAGATGGCTGAACAACTGTTCAGTGTCAATCCTGTGGAGATCTCCAAAATAATGTTCAACTTAAGTCTCAGCAAAACTCACAACATTTCTGGAGCCTTGTAGACCCCGAAAACTATAAGAACATTCACCAAGCAGCACTGAAAATGTCTGCTTTATTTGGTTCTGTTCTACATACCTTTGTGAAGCAGCTTTTTCTGACATGAAGGAAATCTAAATACAGAACAAGACTGACAGATGAACATTTAAATGACTCTATTAGAGTGAACCTTAGGCGCCGTTTACACGAGGACAAAACTGCTTGTATCTGCATAGTTTCTCGTGCGTATAGCCCTATTATTTACACGAGGCCGATAGAAACTGACCCCACAAACAATAACGGGTCCCAAGGTGGATAGATTTGCAAACAAAACGCTCTGGGGGGTCAACCGAGTCCGTGTAATCACCTCTATACGAATATTTCCTGAAAAAATAACGATAGCCGCACCTCTCCCCACCTCTCCCCGCCTCTCCCCACCTCTCCTGCTCACTGCTGTAGCAACTATCAAAAATAGCTGTGTTAATTAAATGCACAAGGGGTTCTTGAATGAAATAATATTATAAAAGGCAAACCAGAATTGTTAACGCCCAATATACTCCTTAAACAAAATAAACAGAGTCAGATTTCATGCATTGATCCATTATATTGACAATTTTCCAGCCAAACAACACAAACAAAATTAAAAAGTCCGCTCTGCGATACACCAAACTTGTCTTTACTGCCTAATCCAGGCCATTATTGTTCATTGCTCCTGCGCCCGTCGGCGGCAAAAAGAGAAATGTTTATAATCCACACAAAAAAAGGAAACACGAGGACCGGCGTGTCCCAGAGGAGCGATCTCACCCGGTGTTTGTAGAGAATATCTCTCTTTCTGAGCGCGTCCTCTCCACGGAGACGTGCTTCTTGGTCGGTCGATGCAATATCCACAGATTCGGTTTCTTTCAGTTAACTTCCCCGTTGCATTTATCCATATGCTGAGGAAATGACTATATCCCGCTGAATACCAGCAATCGCCACACACACTTCCTCCTGTCAGTAGCTACTGCTAGTGCTACTGCTACTGACCATGCTACAGATATTAGTGCAACATCTACAGCTCCTCTACCACAACCATCAGCAACAAGTGGACATGGAGAATTACATGAACTACATGTTGCTAAATCCACCGCGGGGCATGAACAGAAGGGTAGCCATGGCAACATTGCGGCGGGGCTGCTCGGGCTGCTTGGGCTGCTCTTCTTCGCTGCTTTTGGTGTATTTTGGCGGAAGTTACAGCGCCACTTACAGTCCCGGCATATGTACTACAGCGTTTCCAGCGGTCTCGTTTGAACAGACACGTTAAATGAAACAAATGCATGTGAACGGAAGACTTTTTTGAATACGCATACTGTGCATAAACGCAAACGTTCCCGTGTGAAGGAGGCCTTAGGCTAAGTGGGTCCAGCATACACCTCTATGGTGGACTGCATGCAGTGCCATTCATCTCACTAACAAAAGAGTGAAATGCTTGTAAGGTGGTGATTAAGGACACTTATGTGAATGTTCAGTGATGTACTTATTATGTGGGCCATAATAATATGTGAGAAATCTTCGTTTTCTTGGACCTTATTTTTGATAAGCTTTAGGTATTGCAATTTCACACGTGCACAAAAGTATAGCTTAATTCAACTGATGAGGGCTATGTGAATAAATGTAAGCGACGTGATGCAAGTAGCTCTTGGCCACTTTCATTTTTTGAAAGTAGCTCTCAGATGAAGAAAGGTTGGAGACCCCTGATCCACACACATGGATTAACATCGATTTAATACATTAATGTAGCCTTTGTTTCTGCTAAAAGAGGTGTCGACCAGCTAGGGCAGGGCTTCTCAAACTCCGGACCAAGGTCCGGATCCGGACCGAACCCTGTGTCCCATTATTTAAAAAAAAAAAAAAAAAAAAAATTATGAAAAAAAGAATTATGATTCTGATAAATTAATGTACATCATCATGTACGCGCGTCTTGTGTCTGACGCGTTGTGAGAATGAACGTGCATATATATTTACTTGTGTGCGCGAGCGTGACACGCATAGCAGACCGCAAGCTAACCGCAAGTTTACCTTGACATACTGTATGTATGTATTGAATGTGTGTGTGTATACAGGGGTGCCGTTTACCGACAGGCAAGGCAGGCAAGTGCTTGGACCAGAAGGGGGCCCCCAAAGAAGGTAGATTAAGAAGGTCCACAGCAACGACAACATGAAACACCCTTTAATTTACTGCAACGACATGTCGGGAAACCCTCTCAAGGGGGCCCCATGCATAGATCGCCAAGAAACTGCTTCTTAATTTCAGTTTTGTTTCTCCGCTCGGGGGACGGACGGACGGACGGACGGACGGACGGACGGACGGACGGACGGACGGACGGACTTTACTGGCATTGATCCGGACCAGTGACCTTGTATAAATTTCACAACTGGACCTTTAATAAAAAAGTTTGAGTACCCCTGAGCTAGAGCAACAAGAAAATCGGCGAAATCAAGTGTGACGATTAAAAAATAAATTAAAAACATCTCATTTTGACAATAAAAACCGACCAATAGGCGCGGTAGACCATTTGCTTGGCACTTCCGGGTATTTCTCCACTGGTTGGGCCATGTTAACAATACCGTGTAACTGTCACGTTTGAAGGGACGAAACCGTGACATATTCACGTCTCCCAGCATGGTAGATCGTCACATGTTCACGTCTTGCCGTGATACCGGGTTGCCCCGGTGTCAGGAGACTCACAAAGTGTCAGGAAACAAACCCCTCTCTCTTTTCCTCCGTACCCACATCTCTAAAAACGGGGGAACAACGGAGCTGATCCAGATTTGCTGCGTCATGACGACATTACTAAAATGTGGGCGGGCTTTACACCAACGGGCCAATCAGAAACGTTGCTGTCAGAAACAATGAGACGTGTTCTGGAAGTAATATGGTCTGTGTTTACATTAGCATGCTAACACTCAGAGCTAACCTGTACTGGAGAGAGCATGTGTGAAGAAGCAGGAAATAAAAAGGAACTCACCTTGTGGTAAACCTGAGAGAGAGAAAGAGTTTGAGCTCCATACAGTTTCAGAGATAATCCTTGATGTGGTTTGGAACATGATATGGAGTTTCATCACGGCAGCATTTAGCTGAGTGTCTGCTGGTAGAATTCTGATCAGGCATTAGCTCCACCTCCTTTGTTTATTTTTTCAAGCTAAGGACCCGAACCTGCTCTTCTCTAACAGCTGGAACAGAGGGACATGAGGGATTTCTAAAATGCATGATCTGTTTGGTATTTTGAGCAAAACACATCATAGACATGTTTTTATATATTTGTATATATCTGAGACCCATAATATATGCCTGAAAATAGCATGATAGGAGACCTTTAAAACTCTGTTTAACTCTGATCAGATTATTAAACCTGGAGTTATTTCAAACAGGAACATTGTTTTCTAAAGTTACATCATGTTCTCTTTATTCAGACTGAAGAACTGCAGGTTGTCAGAGATCAGCTGTTCTGCTCTGGTCTCAGCTCTGAAGTCCAACATCCATCTGAGAGATCTGAACCTGAGTGGGAACGCTCTGAAGGATTCAGGAGTGGAGCTGCTGAGAGATCTTCTGGAGAGGCCAGACTGCAGACTGGAGGCTCTCAGGTCAGTTCACTGACTCTCTGTTACTGCTGGAGATCTCATGTTTCATTAGTTATTCAACCTGATTCTTCTACGTAATTAACTTACATCTATAAAGTTATAAATGTTCTTTTATTCATACTTTCATTTGTAGGTACTAAAGTAAGAACTGCAGAGATAAATGTTGACTGATTCTTAAAGGAACTGTAATAGATGTTAGTTGTTAAAAGTGAATCTATGTTTTTAATATTTAGTAAACGATAACGTCTGAATAAAGTTCATCTGAAGTAATATTAGTTTTACAGGATAAAGTTAACTTTCTGAAGAAGACATATGTTTTTGTTCCTATTCATTTCAATGTTGAGTAACACATCTGATATAAACTGATTTTTATCCTCATGTTTTCTTTATTCAGACTGATGGACTGCAGTTTGTCAGAGATCAGCTGTTCTGCTCTGGCCTCAGGTCTGAAGTCCAACATCCATCTGAGACATCTGGACCTGAGTTACAACAATCTGCAGGATTCAGGAGTGAAGCTGCTGAGAGATCTTCTGGAGAGTCCAGACTGCAGACTGGAGACTCTCAGGTCAGTAAGGGGTCTCTGCTGGTTCAGCAGTATTGTATGAACCACAGGGAGGTGTTTCTCTCACTGGGGAAACAGATCAGTGATGTTACCCACTGACTGCAGGCTCTTTCATTCTTCCATCAACTATAGAAGGCCAGCTGAACATGCAAAGCCACACTTTAGTAATCAACTCTCTAATGGCGCGTTTCCACTACAGCGCGGAGCACGGTTTAAGAGGGCTGTGACGTCAGCGGCCCGTCTTTGGTTGCGTTTCCACTTGGCCTAGTGCCGGCCGGCGGGTCCTAATTCACAGTTTTTCTGGCCTCATAAAATCGTGGGTCTAGGGCCAGAGACAACGAGGCTGAGTCGGGCTGAGTATGCTAAACTAGAGAGAGGATCGCTGGCAAGGGGGCTACAACTACAACAAGATGGACATATTTGACCGTGATTTAATTGTAATACACGTTTCAAAATGATGCCGAAGTAACAACATACTGATACCGGTTAGTAAAAACCATGAATTAATGCTTTGACAAGTCTGCAGACAGACGGCAGGCGAAAAACCTTTTAAAATGCGTGTTTTCTAAATGGAGATTGGCTAAGCTAACGCAGTATATGCTCCGACCGTCCACACTCACAACAACGGCCTATACAGACATAAATAAAGCAGCGACTGTATTAGTCATGACACAGACAGTCTGTGGTGTGTACTTGTTTAACTTTTGTCTAGTTTCTGAACATATATGAGGAGCTGTGAGCTCTGAGTGCTAACAGCTAACGGCTGTGTTGTTTTTCTGGGGTTCTCATTGAAGATGACGTCACGGCTCCGCCTACACTGCGTTACTATAGATACTACCCCAGTTCCTAAACTGTAATGGAAATGCGCCATAAAGTGAGCCAGTCCTAACGAGGCCTAGCCATACCGAGCGAGGCCGAGCGGGGCGTGTAGTGGAAACGCGCCATAACAGACATATGGGGTTTTACAGAAGAGTGGGAAAGGTAGTCTGTTCTTATGGGATGTTTTTAGTTTCTAGCCCAGGGGTGTCCAAACTGCGGCCCGGGGGCCAAATGCGGCCCTCGGAATCGGCCCTCAGCAAATTCTGAAAGTATAATGAAATATGGCCCACACATGAAACTTGTGCTTGTCTTGTATTGTACTTCTTAAATATATATGTACACATATATTACACAGTAGTATTCATGTGTTAATAAGCCCACCTTTAAAATAAATGCAGTCAATTAAAGTTGAAAACATTTTCTAACAAATCTAACTTGATAAGAAAAAAGCCCAATAACTTATTGTTATAACAAGCGTGAAATAAACCCTTCATACTTCCTGTAATTATAATCAATCTGAAGCTCCTGTTTAAAGGAATGAGCTGCTAACAGAATAAAGTAAACCCTCTGGAGAGCTGAGAGCTGTTTTGTTTCTTAAAGCATCTTCAAGTAACAAGCATCCTTTACCTTCATTTGATTGAGTTTCCTGACTTATAACTGAACTCATGAGGCAGTAAACCTCTAGAGAGCGGCCCAGACCTTTATATATTTTTCTGTATGCGGCCCTCGGTGAAAAAAAGGTTTGGACCCCCCTGTTCTAGACCAATGACTGGTTACTTCCTGTCATGCAGCTGAGAGCTGTGGCAGGCAGTCGTAGTGTTTGCAGAGAAGATATGATGGGATGTAAAGCATGAGATCAGGACTCTGAAGCTGACTCAAAGAACTAACACTTATTTTAAACTGGATCTTAAACTGTTGGATTGTGTTCGTCTCTACAGGATCGGAGATTATCATCCCTACAGGATTGGATATGGACTAGGAGAGACGATCAGAGCCAAGATCCAGAAGACCTGTGAGTACTGAAACCATATCCTCCATTCATCAAGATATGAAACTCTTTAATGGAGCGTGACCTCAGAGGAAAACAACACTCTTCTTTCTCTCTTCATCATTTTATCTGTTTCTCTTTGTTTAATTATCATCATTATTCTCTCTCTCTCTCCTTCTCCTCTCAGGTGACAGGAAGTGAAGACACACAGAAAGGTGAGAGGTCGTACCGTGTGAAGTTTATTTATTGAGGTTTCAACACGTTTTTCTGGTGTTCCAGACAAATCTGTAAGCTCAGGTTTTATGTGTTCTCAGTTTATTCATCACAGGGCGAGTTTGAGACTTAAAGAGGAGCGTGGAGGCATTTTGGAAAATAAAGAAGAAGGCTGCAGCTGATGAGAGACTTCCTGTTAGCTCTCCTCAATATCAAATGAACAAAAACAATCAATTGTACTTAAAGCTTTTCTTAAGAAGAAAGATGTGTTGCACATACACCTGCTGCTACCTACCACCACCTCCCACCCATCCCGGCACCAAAGAGGAGACTCCATCGACCCCAGATACCCCAACTCACTCTTCTTCAGGTTAGCTTGGAGCCCCGCCTTTACCTGCCCCAACACCTCACTTTGAACGATGTAGTCATCCGGATATCTGCATACTGAGAGTGGGACGCAGGACCCGGTCAATGAGCTGCTGGAAGGGGGTCCACTGGACTGGAGGGGCGCTTGGATCTGGTGATGCCTGGCTCTTCCTGAAAGGGGAGGACACCTATCTGCCATAGTTTCTCCACCTGACGACTGAGTTCGGCATCGGGGGTTCCAGTTGGGGTGAAGAGACTCTGGGGGGCATCCGATGGCTCCTGAATAGGGGGGCCCTTGGAGTGTCCAACCTAATGATAATAATAAGAATAATAATAATGCATGTTATTTCTAAAGCACCTTTCATTGCTAAAAGTAATCTCAAAGTGCTACAAGGGGCATAATATACTTCTTTTTTTTTAAAGAAACACAAGTTTAATAAAAGGCTTTAAAAAAAGAAAGGTTTTTAGGCCCTTCTTGAAGGAGTCAGTGGTCTGTGGAGTCCTCAGTTTGTCTGGGAGGGAATTCCACAGGTGAACAGAAAGCCCCCCCATGGTGCGGAGTTTGGTCCTGGGGGGGAAGCAGATGGTTGGTTGTAGAATGGAGGTTGCGTGTGGAGGTTTGTGAGGAGAGTAGTTCCTTGAGGTATGAAGGAGCGTTCCCGTGGATGCACTGATGGGTGAGGAGTGAGATCTTGTATTTGAACCTAGCTGGAGGGCTATTGGTGCCCCCTGTTGACCCAAAGAGACTCTTTTGGTTGGGGTAATGAGGTGAAAGTTATCTGCACCTATTAGTAGGAGAGGCTGCACTTTGGAAAAGAGGGAAGGGGAAGGCCTTGTAGGCGGAGATAGTGTTTCTTGAGTTCATCCACAGGATAACTCTAGTCCACAAGTGAAAGTCTGTCAGAGGTGAATGTGTCTTTGAGGAGGAATGTTTTCTTGGGATTGAAAGAGGGTGATATCTCAAAGGTCACTGAGGCTCCATTTCAGAATAATATATATGATATGTTTTATAATGATTGATCATTAAAGTGTTCTCAAAGCTGGTAAAGGTGCAGCTAGTTTGAATGACTTTGTATACTGCAGGGTAGTGTTGAGATCTCCATATTAGGTTGAATAATTAAAACGAAAGTTAATTATAATCAAATATAATCAATTATATTCTTGTATAACCCACAATGAAAATGCTTCATATTTTATGGTTTTCTATATTTACAGTATAAACAAAACACAAGTGGTTTGTTAAATTGAGTGTGTAAGGCCTATTATGGTTTATGGGTGTCACTGATAAGAGAGGAGAGACAGTTTCTTCCCTCTTCCCTCACAGCAGTACACAGGGAGGGGGGCTCCTGACTTAAGGAGAAATACACTGAGGTTTGTGCCATAGCCGAGAATAATATTTTGCAAGTCCTGCAGAGTAGGGGTCATGACCTTTTTACACAAACATGGGAAGGTGTGTCTTATGCCATAGCCATAGAATATGTCTGGACAAGTCCAGTCCTGTACATCAGAGGCCATGCCCAGTTTCCACAAATATGGGTATGGAGGAGGTGTCTTCAGGTTTTTCTGTCCTGTTTTTGTTTTTGGGTTTTCGCCTCGGTAAGGTTCTCTCCAACTTTGTAACTATTGCTTAAATCTCTGTGTATTGAATGCTGAGTGAATGGTTGGATGCAAGTTTAAAACTAGAATTCAAACTGATCATTCTGAGGAACTGACCTCTGAATGTGTCAGGCCATAGGGTGTGAATGTTAACCCCTGCGATCTGTGAGGAAATTCCTTTGGATTTTGTCGGAAGACTTTAATGTCTAAACTATGAATTAAGGTTTTAGATTAGAAAATGACCCCAGCATGATATGTTTAGTATGATTGTAATGTTGTAACGAGAGAAGGTAAAAACCATGTATACGTGTGGACCATTTTTCTTCAAATAAACTGATCCCACCTTTTGGACTGGGACAACTTAAAAGACATCTGTGCTCTCCTCTCCTGCTTAAAGGTAAGATTGCACACTGCCACACTCACACTTAGGTAGGGCCACACCTCACTACTGATATCAAAATCCTTCTGGATCGCTTAAACAGATTGAGCGGGTCGTCTGAATTGAAACAGCAGTTAATTGAACCTGGTTCTCCAGGAGTTAATAGAGGTGAGATCTTGCTGACGTTGGTGGATCTGAGCCAAGCAGTAAACTTACATAGACTCAATAACGTCTGTTAGGTCAATTAGTAGGTCTGAGTAATTTGCCGGAATAAATTATCGGGCCTCCCGACTCCAACAGTGGCTTGTGAATTTACTCCAGGTGGAACTAAAGTCTGATTTAACACTTGATTATATTTCACATCATTCATCCACATCTGTAAAGTAACTAAAGGGATTAAATACATGTAGTGGAGTCAAAGTACACCATGTACCTCTGAACTGTAGTGGAGTAGAAGTAGTACACAGTTGCATAAAAAGAAAACTAAGCTTCATCTCCAAGCCCAATGGCCTTGGAAGAGCTGCTAAGGAAAAGGAAAGACATCTGGAGACTTTGGAGAGACAGCTAACGGACAAACTCAAGGAACTGAAAGACACTCCCTAATAGGCCGTATGCTGTTTAGCCTTACCTTGAATGATTCAGTGCAGTGTTCTGTGCATGTTGTTGGTTTGCTTTTTCAACTCAAGGAGCTAAAAGACTGATTGAAAGTTGATTTGATTTGCATAAGTTCTGATTGCTGATTCAACGTGAAGGAAAATTCACATTTGAGTTGATATAGTATATGTGAGAAGCGGACTATTAGGTTTGAATGAGACCTTCGAGCGTTTTGCACCTAAATAAATAATTAAAATGAACCTTGTTTTGACTTTGCCTCTTTTGTTGATATTAGTGGTTTATGCTACAATGTGCACCAATATGTGTAAAAAAGGTTTGCAGACATCAAGTATGATATTAATACACATTTTATTATTGATTGGTCATGGTGATTTTATGATTTTCTTATGGCTGCTTATCTTCCAGGACTTTTTGAAGGCTGCAAACAGAAGGAGAATGTTTTCTGTTAGTTTAGTGAAGGGGTCGGCAACCTTTTTGATATGAAGTGCCATTTAAAAAAAAAAAAATTATCAGCGTGCCAACGATCGAGAATTATCAACGGGGGGGGGGGGGGGGGATGTTGAGGAGCTTGACGCTCGTGATCTATCAACAGGAGGGCGGGGGGGCCTCGCTGCGGGGACGCAGTGTGTGGACCTGTCAGCGCAACTTACATGATACCGAATTTAACAACCACATTTAAATAATTGTTTTAAACGGCATAATAATAAGGACGATCGTCCGTTCTGTGATTCTCCAGAACACACATGTTATGATATTAGGGTCATGCAGAGTGAGATGAGATCGCTGTCCCTTTAAGAGAGAGAGAGAGGGGTTTGGCGTGTGCGTGTGAGTATGTTTCTGGAAGTGAAACGAGGCAGCAGAAAAACAGAGGTCTGTGATGTATTTTGTGAAACAGAAGAACAGCTAAATAAATGCAACGGCCTCTCAAGAAGAGCTCGCCTCTCTCCAGTCATTTAAGCTAAAGTGGGTTATTGAACCTGAAGCTCGTTGCTTCTGCCCTCCTCGACTACGGTCTGGGAGCCGACAGGAAAGTTCAACACACAGATGGCCAGTCCGCCCCTTTGTAGCATATTATTTCAATGAGAGATGAGCAGATCGCCACTGGGCTTTCAACTAAAGACACACACAGCCACGCAAAAACTGCGACATTTGTAAAGCTCCTTATGGGTACTGCAATTTGTGAAGTGCTTTCTTCCGTGGTGAAACGATCAGCACTGCACCACGGAGGAAAGCGGCAGAAAGTCACCTGGAGTTAAAGAGAGCGGGGCTGCGTTGCGTGCATGGCTTCCTTCTGCAGGTAACGGGGAGACGCGCTCTGGCGGCGGTCTCGTTCAGGATCCGAAAATACAATTTAAATATTTTGCACACTTATTCGACTTATTCCTAGTGTGCCACTGGCTACGGTGCCGCGTGCCAATGCTGGCACGCGTGCCAGGGGTTGCCGACCCCTGGTTTAGTGGTTCTGTCCTGGAGAGATGATCCTTTTACCAAATACAGTTACTCAAGTACATCTTCGATCTTTGCAAATCAGTTATGAGTCTTCAAACAAATCACACTCAATTTAAGGCGGGGCCTCTCATATGACGCACACCTGCACACTTGCCCGCCTGTTCCACTCTTCGTTTTCCGAATGCCAGGAAGGATTCTTGCCTGGCTTCTGAAGGACCTGACTCGGAAGACTTGTCCTACCAAGGAAGCGTCCTCGACATTGAGAAACACCCCCCGTGTCTCAATTCAGGGGCTGCATCCTTCGGAGGACGCAGCCTACGTGGTCCACGAAGGATGCAGACCGAGCGGCCTACGAAATGAGACGGTCCAGCCTGCGGAGCACTGCCTGTTTACGTCTACGCGCTGTTCTGTTGCGCTGCTCCAGCAGCCTGATAGCATATGAGCTAACAAGCTAACTCAGCTGAACATGATCCAGAAACTTTACTTTTTTACTTTAACCATTTTTTGGAGATCACCGACAGCGATGAAATAAAGAGAACCATGGCCAGGTGAAGCTGTTCCTTTAGCCCTCAGTAATGTTACATTAGTAAGTTAACAAGTACATTATATATAGCTGATGTGATTTAATCATATTATTTCATATTTAACATAAGTCTTAATTTTTCTGTACTAATAAAACGATATGTTTTTTAAATGAACAACAGCATATTGTTTAGATTGATTCTAAACAATATTAGTTTTCTAATCTTATTAGCTGTGATTATAATAGTTTATATTCTCCTTCTTCCCCTGAACCAGCCCAGATGATGTCCTACTGACCCCAGGTCAGCACCTCCAGGTCCAGCAGCACGGTGACCCCCTGCTCTGCTGAAATACACAATTAAACATTTTCTATAGCCTATTTTTTGTATTAATATAATTAAACAGAACTTAAGACAGTTTAATGACCTAGTGATATCCTATTATTCCACTGCTTATGTACACATGTTGTAAATAATGGTTAAAACCTCAGTAAATGAAATAAACAATGTGTTTAACAATTACTATTTTAATTCAATTTTGTATTTTCATCTAATCACAAAGTAGAGGTAAGAATATATCCATCCTCTCTCTGCAGCTTGATGTCTTCTATTATGAGAACTTTCATCATTAAGACAGAGGAAATCAATCGTGCCATTTAACATCAACAGCAGTAAACTATAATCATTAAATATCTATTAAAAGAAAGGACACAGAAAAAATCAAATTCTGAAACTAAGACACAGAAAAGTGCAAGATAAAATATAGATAAACACAATTTAGATTAAGTAATATCATCTTAATTGTAGATTAAATCTAGACAGTATTGCAAATAAATTAAATGTTAACAGCAATGTAATAAGTATATACAGTATATGCAAAATGAGATGTTATACATGGCATACAGATTAAATAATTTAATTTGAAGTAAAAGTATGTAAGGCTGAAGTGGCAGCAGTGTTGAGCTCTACAGTTCTGCACTCATACGTCTGGAGGACGGCAGTAAGCAGAGGATTGGGTGGCTGGTGTTTGGTGATGTTTTGAGGTAACGTGGGATCATGGGAGTTGTAGTCTTCAACTGCAATGCAGTCAGCTTTTCCCAGTTAAGATTCTTTTCATTTTAATTGATTAGAGCTATTTATCGGGAGCCACATTTATTTTCCACTGAGGTCACTAATGGACCAAGTGAATGACCCGATAAAATGTATGTACTATGTAGTCTCGCTACTTTAAAAAGTTATCTCCTGCTGATGTTCAGGTGTATATCAGTTTGTAGTGTCTCTACTTTAAAGAGTCCTCTCCTACTGATGTTCAGGTGTATATCAGTATGTAGTGTCTCTACTTTAAAGAGTCCTCTCCTGCTGATGTTCAGGTGTATATCAGCATGTAGTGTCTCTACTTTAAAGAGTCCTCTCCTGCTGATGTTCAGGTGTATATCAGTATGTAGTGTCTCTACTTTAAAGAGTCCTCTCCTGCTGATGTTCAGGTGTATA